TCCAGTTCACCTGACCAAGAGTCTACTGCACAGCTGTGCCAAGGCTAAAGTTGATTACCCCACTACAGCAACTTCTGCGAGTCCTACAGCGTAAGTCGAGGATGCTCATCCTAGTTCTGAAACTCCATGATCGTAGAAGGTTCATGGGTTGAGGTGCGGTCCTTAATAAGATGGTCGGCCGTCTGATTTGCGCTACGTCCTACATCCCGTGAGCCTTCAATGAGGCTTATAGAGCCCCCTACCCCTAAGCCCGGAAATCCTAAGGGCCTGAACCCTAGGGCCTTATACGCCTGCCCCAAATACCAGGCTCTGAATTTGAGGGTTCAGGCAGTTTGATGCAGGGTCCCCTCTCAGGGTTCCTCTCAGGGTCAAAGGATCCTAAGTACTCCCAACTCATTGTAAATCCCAGTGCAGAAGCCCTACTTGCTACTATGTAAGTACTGAAGACCTTTTGGGAGGATTCCTTCTGGGGTTTTGCGTTTGGGGAACCGGACGCAAATACACGACTCAATCCTATACTGCATAAGCCCTGACTGTAAAAACTAACCCCTTAGGCCCGATCTATTCAAGCGTTATTTACATCGGTATTACGTTGCACCGGCGTCTATTGCAGGAACAGCATCAGGGGACTTGGGGAGCGTAAGTCCATAGACCCCTAAACCCTAAACCCAAAACCTCAAAACCCTAGTTAAGCCCAAAACCCTAAGCCCTAAACCTTAAGCCTTAACCCTCCAAACCCGAAGCCCTACGCAGGTCATCTGCATGGGCCGGGATCATCAGATGAAGGCCTTTTGCAACATGGGAGTTTCCGAAAATTAGGGGTACCTTATCATGAAGTCCGTATAAAAGGGATTCTAACTATAGTTCCCATAGCCTAGGGTCATCAAGGTAATGCAGGGGTTATATCATCCTTTTAAGGGTCCTTGTAAGGATTGTGCAGGATTCCTTCGGGGTTCCTTGACTTGACGGGTTTTTCAGGGTACCCTGAAGGATTCTCTTACCACCTGAAGAAGCCACTTATGAGGTTCAAGGTTCAGGGTTTAGAGGGGTGTAGGCATCCAGCCCTGAACTCGAAATCCTTGGTTGAAAACTTGAACTGTGTCTCTACCTATAGTCTCCATTGTAGTTCCTTTTTTTTGGTTAACCAAAATCTCTATCATAGGGTCCTAACCATCAAACTGGCTAAACCAAGAAGAAGAACTACATTGGAGACCCCAGGTAAATTTAGACAATCAAAGGGGAAAAGGAGGGACCCTTAGTAAGGACCCCTAGGTATACATATAGCCATAATATAGGCATCATATACCCATTATATAGCCCATTATAGGGTAGGGGTCCCCATTAAGGGTCCCTCCTTTTCCCATTTGAGACAATCATGGAGTTCCACAGGGTTTCTGTAGGGCTTCGGCCCTGGGCTGGAAGACTCCAACTACAGTTAAACCTACACAGCCCTGAAACTCTAAATCCAAAAGTTTAGGATTTTAAGGGTTTAGGGCTTTAAGGGTTTAGGGTTTAGGGGCTTAGGGTTTAAGGGTTTGGGGTTGAGGGCTTAGGGTTTACAGTAGCAGCCAGAAAGTTGGAACACCATTATCCTCATGCCCTTAAGGTAAAGTATAAGGGATCCTAGCACTAATCGTCCTAAATCCATGTTCCAACTTTCTGGGATTCACTATAAACCTCTCGCAACTCGTTAAGCAGCTAAAAACGCGTGGACCCTATGCATTATGCATATGGGAGTTCACGAAACTTAGGGGTACCTTATCTTGGGGTCCCTACAATAAGGATCCTACTATTTACGGTACTATATTAGGATCCCCTTTTTTCGGAACCTCCCATATGGTTCGACCATTAGGGTTTAGGGTTTGGGCCCGTCGCGAAGCTCTGAAGTGAACGAGTGCCCTCGAAAGAGATTGGACCGCACAGCTCAAACCCAAAGGGGCCTCAAATGTGTCGAAGCCTTGACGAGACCCTGCATAAACCCTGGACCCCCAAAAACCCTAAACCCGAAACTGAGCCTCAAGCCTTAGCTTTAAGAAACAACTGAGCCCCAACGACACCCAACCCCAAACTCGCAACCTTAACTTCGACGGCTCCTCAATCACTATGCATTACACCACCCCCTTCAGCACAAGCCTTTTGAATTGCTCAGGCTCCTCTGTTGGGTGACTGTTGCTGGCTTTCCTTCTTTCCTGGCTTCGGGCTTGCGGGATGCTGCCATTCATTTCTGGCCTCTTGATCGTAAGCTGTTAAGCCCCAAATACACAGAACCCCTGAACCTCGAACCCCCTAAGCCCCTAAAGCCCCCAAGCCCCAAACCCGAAACCCATCATGAGCAGGTGGAGCTCTACCCCGCACTTCTCCTCGTGGCGGCTCCTGCATGGAGTTAGAGCCGATTCTTATGAGGATTTTTGGGAATGAAGGGTTTCTTCTAGGATTAGGGTTTCAGGGTTTTTAAGGCTTTGGAGGCTTTTGGGTTTTGGGGCTTCAGGTTTTAAAGGTTTTTAGGCCTTTAGGGCCCTTGGCATGGTGATTTTTTGATCCGCCTGCCTTGAAAGACAGGGTTCACACACCCGTTTTATAGTATTTGAGGATACTCCCAAGCCGCCCGACCGAAAACCCTAAGGACCCTGCGCCCAGAAGCCCGGAACCGTATTCTAAACATCTTCGTGCGGAACCCATAGAGGAACCTTTGGAGGAACTCTTACCCTAAGGGTCCAAGTACCCAGTAATCATATACTCTCCAAAATCCTAACCTACATGACTACTATCCCAGAACGGAATACCTGATTATTGGGTCCTTCGGATCTCTGCGGTTAACCATACCCCCTCAAGGAGCTGTAGCGGCCACAGCGTTTCAGTTTGCCGGTCTTCAGGGCACTAGGGCATCTGAGGTATTAGGGTTGTAGAATGAGCAAAGTCTGGCTAGGATTTGGTGCTCTCGGTTTGGGGTGGCGGATATAGCCACGACGGAACGCCCTAACCCCGACCTAAACCCTGAATGATGTAGAGAGTCGCTGCGACGGGGACGATAGCACCTCTCTTCCAATAAATCCCTCCGTAAGCCCTAGGTTCACACAAATTTAGCGTCAATCAAACCCCTATTTCCAGGCCGCGAATCCTATCCCCTATACCCTAAGAGCCGTTTCTCCTATCGCAATTAGCGGTTCCAACCCTTAAATCGACTACTTCAAGCCTCCATCCCGAGCTCGATGCCTCAACTCAAATCCCCAACCCTACACCGTGAACCCGAAGCTCCACATAGCATCCTCAGCCCTAAACCCTCCACCGCAAACCCCAAGCCCAAAGCCCTACGCGCTTGATCCCTAATAACGCAACCCATGAGTCCTTCAAGGAAGCCTTCAAACAGTTTCTGATATCAAGAAATCTAGGGCAGCTTCCGTCCCACGTCCACAAAACCCGGAGCAAGCTCCCGATCAGGCGCTTGTGCTGATGCAGGGGTGGTGTTGGACAATCGCCCTTTACTGCCTGCTCCTATCGAGCCGACCTGCTGCACCGGAGAGGTACCGGCGTTGCCGGATGACTTCGACATCGATGCCTTGATTGCAGGGCCTGGAGTGCCCGTGGCGGCTACAGAGGAGGAGCCTGGCGTGGGGTCGAACCCGTGCAGTAACTGCAGGAAGGATTCCATTGAAACGAATCCACACTGCAGCCCTGAAAGAAACCCTTGAAGCAACCCTTACCGGAACCGCTTGTAGGAATCCTTGGAAGGAACCCTTAAAGCGGAAGCCCTTGAGGGACTCTGTTGAAGGAACCCTTGAAAGGAGTCTTTCAAGGCACTTTCCTTAAACGGGCACTTAGCCCCCCAGCAGCCCAGAAGCAGCGCGACAGGTCGTAGCCGGCCCAGACGGAACCCCACTGCCACAGTTCAGCCTCTCGCACGCACTCTAGGATCGCGGGTTTGAGCTTAGGAACTACAGCCTGAACCCTCAACTCATCTCAACTCTAGCTCTCAGCCCACAATCCTTTCAACCTTGTAGTGGGGTTTGCTGATGTGAAAATTTCAAGGATTGAGTTTGGGGCTTATATCTTGAGATTCCAGTTGAGAATTGTCGGATGTACGGATTGAGGGTTCAAGGTTCAGCGTCAAAGGTTTCAGTACCGAGGGTGTAGGCACTGGGTTTCCGAGGGCTGACGGCTCGGGGCTTCGGGCATGCAGCCGGTTTTAAGGTAGAGGGCTAAGGCTTTCGCGGGATTTCTTGTTGAGAATCTTAGCGTTGCTGATCATCGCAGCTGAAGTTAATCTCCTTATCACCCGATCAAACCCCACAAAATCCACGAAACCCTACCTTCACTTAAGCCCCTGCGCGACCACTTGGGTGTTTTTTTGCTTTCTGGGGCTTGAACTTCGAGCATAGGGCCTGCGGAGTTTTGAGTCTTCAGCTTTCGGCTTCGGAGCTCCTGGAGCTTCCGAGTCTGAACTGTGCAGCAGAGTCCAGGGAGTCGCGTAAGTATGCAGCAAGCTTACCTTTGGTTAGTAGGGAAAAGAAGACTGGTAGTGATAGTAGTTATAATTGTACCCCATTCTTCCATTCCCTACTAACCAAAGGTAAGATAAGTATGCACCAAGTGCCACACTGCCACAGTGCCACCGCACTGCGTAGATTGTGTGACCAGCTTCCCACAGCGGTGCACGGCCCAACTTTGCCTAATCCCTAAATCTCAAAATCCCAAGCCCAAAACTCTGAGCTGTGGATGTGGAGGGCTTTCGAAGCAGTGCATGCTGCAGCTGTGGCTCGGCTCTGGCCAGTGACCATGCCATCACGGCTTGGGGTTTGGACGACCAGGTGTCTACAGTCCCTGTTCTAATGTCTACTTCTCGAAGTCTAGAAGCGCTAAGCCCGAAACCCAACGCATCATCTGAGAAAGAGCTCATCCTCCTCAGAAGTTGTAGCATTTGCACCTGGACTGCCAGACGAATGCTCGGCTGAGGGCAATTTCACATCAATGCCTTCAGAGTTTTCCGGCCTCATCGGCACGACATGGGCAGGGGCAAGAGACTGGTGCGTAACGCATCTCGACCAGGCAGATTGGAACGCGCTGTCTCAGGTCCGATGAACGACAGAGGTCATGCGGGAGATGCTGACTTGGAGGTAGAAGTGGCACCGGAAGAGTGGTCGGCCGCGTTGGTGGTGGACTGTAAAAAGATGGACGGTTCCATTAGGTCACAGACCCAGGAAGCTCAGGTTGCAACGAGTGGTATTGCGGCCATGTCACCTGGTGTGCAGCTGAAAGGGCACTTCAGTTCTGCATCCGGGGCAGCATCAATGGTTGGCCAGGAAGCAAACACAGATTGGGCTTTGCAGCACTCCGTGTCGGAGACCCAAAAAACTGCATCTGATGGTACCGAGGCCATGTCAACTCAGGCAATTTTCGACAGGCAAATTTGTGCGTTTGTGGAAGTTACTAATAGGCTTAGAGCCACCCGAGCTCGAGCTCAAATGGCCGACGATCTCAAACTTGCTCTCCGGATTAAAGGTGTTGAGAAGTTTCCTGACTGTATATGTTTGTCGTGTTTTTTTTGAAGCCTCTGCAGCATTCAGTCGCCAAGGACCCGCTGCAAAAGCCAGATGTAGCCCGGCTCCAAATGGAGAACGAGCAGCTGAGAAGAGACAACACAAGTTTGAAGTTGCAAAATCAAGCTCTGCACCGACTTATGCAAGCCTTGCCGCCGGCAGTTTGCCAGACTGCAGCCTGGATTCGCGACGAGTTGCCGCGCCTCCTGAAGTCTGCTGCCATGCAGCCTCGCGGGATTCGTACTCAAATTCCGATCTTGGCATTGCGGCACACCCACAAGTCTGTCAATGCAGCGCTCGCATTCGGTGATGATCATGAAAATGCCCAGGAGAATATCTTGAAGCTGTTTGACCAGCTTTTTCGAGGCCACGTGCAGCCTCATGAAGTGGAAGAGTTACAAGGCAAGCTTCCCCCAGATGCAGCTCAGCTTTCAGTCAGGTTGTTCTTTGGAGTCATGTCTAATTGCGTGCCTTTGTGGGATTGTTTGATTTTGCGGGTTTAGAGAAGACAGGTCACAGATGATCTTGGCATCCGCTCCCGGAACAATCGCAGACTTCTTGCGCTCCGCGCCTTACAGAGTTGTAGACTGGACGAATGCATCTATGTGCCCCTCGGAGTTGCACCCAGTTCCTATCATCATGGGCATAGGAAGGTCACTGCTGGTGTCACAGGTTCTTGCAGATTCATCCATGCATGTATCCATGCATGCATCCATGCATGTATGCATGTATGTATGTATGTATGCATGTATGTATGTATGTATGTATGTGTGTATGTATGTGTGTATGTATGTATGTATGTAGGTATGCACACATGTATGCATGCATGTACGTATGTATGAATGAAGGAAGGAATGGACGACTGAATGCATGCATGGATGTATGTATCCCGTGTGTTTGTGTATACCTGTACGTACTGTCATAGTCGACAGACTTGTTTCCATGCTGCTGAGTTTCGTGGCGAGCATGATGCTCATCGCGTGTTGTGCAAGTATCACACGTGTTTAACTTTTCTTGGAGTTTCATACCGACCACAGAGTTTGGTTTTCCAGGCTCATCATTTCTGTCCTTGGCACCAGGGAAACATCCGCACTAGTAATGCGGTTTTTCTATCGAAAATATGGAACATTCGCACATACCGCAGCCGCAGCTGCATCGTCAGCAGTTATCAAGATTCTTCACAGCTCGACATTGACAACTGCTATACTTGCCACAGCAACTTCTCCCGTAGTACACATATTTGTACTGCCCACTGCTGGCACAGCGATCACAGTTGGAAGCATCAAGCTTTTGCACAAAGCACCATTGCAGCGATGAGTCTGACACTGGGTTAGTCATCGCACTGGTGACAGTCGTCATTGCTTCCTCTGTGGAGGCTTCATCATGTTATTGATGCCTGTCATCACAACGATCTCAGCTATCATCCCTCATCCCGGATATGAGATACGGTGTTTCAAGCAGCGCAGCCAAGGCCTTGCATCGCACGTTCTCACGAGGCATATTTGGGCGATGCTAGTTTCAAGCGCTGGTTTGACAAAGGCGATGATGGCGATTCAGGCTGGTCAATCCACAGCAGAGAGGGACAATCGAAACACCGTGGAGTGCCGATCTTCAATAACGCGGCTGCTGCCAAGCGTGGCTTGAAACGCTTAGCCGAGCGACAGAAAGCCCGTGCCAATCCCGATTGGCATCGGATTGAGCAGGTCGAAAGCTGTCTTCGTGAAATCAAGCTGCGGCCAGTCTCTAGGGACAACGAAGAGGAGACACTGAGCTTTTACAGCAGATCTGAGCACGCCGAGTCGTCGCGTCAGGGACATCAGGAGCGCCAGTGGGATGGAGACACAAGACGGAGTTGGGGTAATCATGGTCATGCCGATGTCGTGTCGGAGACGCGTGGAAGGCAAGTGCTTGGAACGAAGGTTACGCCCATCACAACGAAGTCGACGAATCCGGCAAAGCAAGTTCCTGGCGCGGAGGCTATGTTGACGGAGCCGACGAAACCCTGCAGGCAAGTTCCGGGAAGGAGGGCCATGGCGGCTATGGCCGTGCTGACGACCAATCCAGGCAACCCGAAGCCTCAAGGCGTTTCTCCCCTCAACACTACACTGATTTCCCAAAGCCTACTTTTTGGGCCCTATTATATATTTTGTATCATTCTATATTAGGGTTGTTGTTTAATATAGGGATTTATAGGGGTATAATTATAATTCACCCCTAAAAACAGTAGGCTTTTAGGTCCCTAAGCAAGCCCTAAGCCAGGACCAAGCAAGGCTCGTTGTCCACACTGGAAGAGTCCTCCATGAGAGAGACTGGGCTTTGGAGTACCATACTGTAATATTTTTCTAGTGAAATAAACTTATACTTGTTCTCCCTGGTTACTTAAGAAAAGCCCAAGAGCTGCTCCGTCCTCCGCGCTTCAGGGCTTTGTTATCGGATTTGCATCGGGAAGGCAGGCTGGCTCAGCTGGCTCAAGCAACCGAGGTTGACTTGACCTTCCATAAAGTCAGCACCTCTATGCGCGCCAAATCGTCCTGGGAAAGAGCGTCATCGGAGCAGAAAGATCCGTGGGACCAACATTGGGATGGCTATTTTGACGACTGGTTTGGGGGCCGCGGCCTCGACGAGGTTTCAACCGCCGACGCCGCAGAACGAAGAGGTATTTATCTGGAGTATTGAGACAGCAGGTTTTCCTTAAAGCTAATCCGTTCGAACCTGTGGCCGATACCTGTCTATTTTCCAGGAGTTACTGTTGCTGAAGCGGGCAAGAGGCTGTGAAAAGATCGCCGATCCGATTGTCCATTTGACTATCGTGCCATTGGTGTTAGTCAACTGTTAGTCTTCACATGCGTCACATGCACGCGATTCCCAAATCGCTTGACCGCAGATCCTACGTAGGTTAGAAAGTTGAAGCCCGTGCCCCAAGCCTCCGAAACCCGGTTCCCCAAATCTAACAGAAGGCACCAATATTGAAACGCGATTTGTCTCCCAGTAGAACCCGCATTTCGGTCAATGTTGGGGCCTTCCGATGAAGATTGGCCCTTTTTGGTGTTACTGTGAAGGCCAAGGGTCTTTGTGTGGGAGGCAGATTGTATGTTGGGACTGCAGGCTGTGTGTCGGTGTGAGGATTGAACAAGTGTATGGGGGTTGCGTAAGGGTCTATTTGATCTTGGATTGGGAATTGAGGGTTTGAGGAAAGGGCAGGTTTGCCCCGAGCTGTTTTGAAGCAGGCTTTAGGGTTCTGGGGACCCTACGAGACGAGTTTCAGCCGATGGTGTCGACAAGAACAAGGTTAGCTGTCACCAGAAGTTGACCATCACTGTCACCATTATCATCACAGTCTTCATGGACATCAATATCACCAATGCGCGGCTTTGTTATCATGACGCTAGGACTCTAGGACTTTGAAGCGCCGGCTATCTCAAGGAGATCTCTTTCAATCCCGCACAAGACGAGGACGCCGCAACAACCCTCAACCCAAAGCCTTTGAACCCTGACCTCTCCCTTCAACCGTAAACTTGCATCCCTGCAAGCTTGCGCTCCAGGCCGGAGATTCTTCATCTCCAAGCAATCCACCCTGGATCAGGCAAGATGGGTTCAGCACCGCGATAGGGCCCGGAATGATAGAAATCTTCACAATCTTATCTGTATGCGGGGCGTCTACTCGTCCAGGGTTATGGGGAGTTGTCGGCTTGGGCGCAGCTCTTTGCAAGATTCGGCCATTTCCTGACATGTCGTCACCATCGGCTTCGGCAAAGCAGTGAGATCTCCAGGGTCACCGCAAAGTCCAAAGATTACTTTGCATGCTTAAGACCGCAGGAAAGGTCCCAGGCGTGGTGGGCAGAGAGCTTACGCAGGGGATTCGAGGAATGGTGGTGGTGCTCTACCGCTCGTGACGTTGCTTGTCGTTAGTCGACTTTCTACGTCTCTTCAGCTTATCAGCATATCAAACAGCACATCAACAAGACGCCAATCTTGTTGACAGATCCAATAGTCTCAGAAGTCTTGAAACATTGCAAAACCATATACAGCCTTGCAAACTGTTAGAGAAAGGAGGCTCCACAGGGCCTCTATCAGCCGCATAGCCCTGATTCAACACAGTCTTAATCCTTACACCTCAATCCCCAACCCATACTTTTGGGTGCTGCATGTAGCGACTGCGCTCAGACTTCAAAGCGCCCCAACCCCTGTAGACCTTCGAAGCGCCGACCTTATTCACCCTGTCATATGACCGTTTTGAAGATCCGAACGAAGTCCTCAACTACGCATTTTTCAGACTGTAAGACTCAGAAACCATACAAGCCCCGCATGAATTGGGAGATTCTGTTTAATCCTACTAGCGACCCTTGTAGAAATCCGGAGAAAACAGCCCAGAAGGGAAGCCTATTCCAACTGTTACGGCTCCAAGGCTAAACCCTTATAGTAAGCTTCAAAAGATCGCGTATATTGAAATTACTATGGCGTCTCTGTTACCAGATTATGAGGCCCATTACGAGACTGCGTGATCATGAGGTGTTTTTTCACCCTGCTCAGAAATCCCACTAAATCCTGAACCCTATACTAAACCCGAAAATCTAAGCTTTAAACCCTAAGCCCTAAACCCTGTACTACGATACTATGTAAGCCCTGAACCCTGCACTATACCCTCATATACCCAAGGAGGGCCGTTCTTCCACACTGCTCAGACGCAAAGACCCCCATTATGTAGAACCCTGTAGTACCCCCTAAAGGTGGAGCTGTGCTAGAACCCTATAGTACCCTTGACGGGAGCCCTAAGAAGCCAAATCCCCGGCTCAGACGCTATCCATGTAGGCCCCTATACTAAACCCTTATAGTAGCACTTGTAGACCCCTTTAAAGGAACCCTATTCTAATTATGAAGGCCCCTCTAGGGCCGTTTTTCCAGCTCTGCTCAGATGCTGTCCCCAACCCTAAACCCTGACCCTAAACCCTAAACCTAAGCCCTTAAAGGGAACCCTGAACCTAAAAGAAAACCCTAAACCCTAAACCTAAGCCCTTAAAGGGAACCCTAAACCTAAGCCCTAAACCCTTAAAGGGAACCCTAAGAAGCCAGTGCTCAGACGCTGTCCATGTTGGCCCCCAAACTAAACCCTTATTGTAGCCTTTTTTTCACCCTTTAAAGGAACCCTATTCTAATTATGAAGGCCCCCATACGGCCGTTTTTCCAGCTCTGCTCAGACGCTGTAAAACCCTGATCCTAAACCCTAAACCCTAAACCTAAGCCATAAACCCTTAGAGTGAACCAAGAAGCGAATCCTAAAGGAAGACCCTGCTCTAACTATTAAGGCCCCCAAAAAAGGGCCGCTTTTCCTCAGACGCTGTCCCCAACCCTAAACCCTGACCCTAAGCCCTAAACCTAAGCCCTTAAAGGGAACCCTAAACCTAAAAGAAAACCCTAAACCCTAAACCTAAGCCCTTAAAGGGAACCCTAAACCTAAGCCCTAAACCCTTAAAGGGAACCCTAAGAAGCCAGTGCTCAGACGCTGTCCATGTTGGCCCCTATACTAAACCCTTATAGTAGCACTTGTAGACCCCTTTAAAGGAACCCTATTCTAATTATGAAGGCCCCTCTAGGGCCGTTTTCCAGCTCTGCTCAGACGCTGTAAAACCCTGATCCTAAACCCTAAACCCTAAACCTAAGCCATAAACCCTTAAAGTGAACCAAGAAGCGAATCCTAAAGGAAGACCCTGCTCTAACTATTAAGGCCCCCGAAAAGGGCCGCTTTTCCTCAGACGCTGTCCCCAACCCTAAACCCTGACCCTAAACCCTAAACCTAAGCCCTTAAAGGGAACCCTAAACCTAAAAGAAAACCCTAAACACGCCCTCTTCCGGAGGGGTGCTGGCCGGAGTTTTGGCCTTCACCCACCACTCAGAGGGTACACTGGTACGGGACCTGATTGCAGGTGGGTGGCGAAGCTCTTGCCATTTCACCTTTGTTACAGGAAAGCGGTGGGGAGTGAGTGGGTTCCGGGAGCACACGGGCCGCGATACGCACTTAGTATCTGCAGAGGGGTCTGTAGAGAAGCGTGCTTGCCATTTGGCTCGCGGCTGCGCTCAGCCCGACGCAGAGGGACGTTGTTTGCGTGGCCTAGTACCTCGGAGGGGGACCTTCAAGGGAAGAGCCTGATCGCACGGGTATCCGCGAGGATGGCACGCTGTCTTGCCCTTATGCCGGCTTGCCGGTGGCGGGCCTGCCTAGTTGCTACTTCGTGCGATTGTTGGCATGCCCTCTTGCCGAACTGGGCCGTCTTTGCTGACCTCATAACGTTGTTTCTGGGGTTGGGGCGTTCGCCAGCGGGAACTCCAAGTGGAGGGGGCAATGACGCTTGCGGAGCCCCCTGAGAAGCCGGGAGGGAACGGCGCCTTAGGCATGGCTGTTGCGCGCACCACCTCGTGCAGCTAGTCGCTCGCTCACTCACTCACTCACTCACTCAAACCCTAAACCCTAAACCTAAGCCCTTAAAGGGAACCCTAAACCTAAGCCCTAAACCCTTAAAGGGAACCCTAAGAAGCCAGTGCTCAGACGCTGTCCATGTTGGCCCCTATACTAAACCCTTATTGTAGCCTTTTTTCCCCCTTTAAAGGAACCCTATTCTAATTATGAAGGCCCCCATACGGCCGTTTTTCCAGCTCTGCTCAGACGCTGTAAAACCCTGATCCTAAACCCTAAACCCTAAACCTAAGCCATAAACCCTTAAAGTGAACCAAGAAGCGAATCCTAAAGGAAGACCCTGCTCTAACTATTAAGGCCCCCAAAAAGGGCCGCTTTTCCTCAGACGCTGTCCCCAACCCTAAACCCTGACCCTAAACCCTAAACCTAAGCCCTTAAAGGGAACCCTAAACCTAAAAGAAAACCCTAAACCCTAAACCTAAGCCCTTAAAGGGAACCCTAAACCTAAGCCCTAAACCCTTAAAGGGAACCCTAAGAAGCCAGTGCTCAGACGCTGTCCATGTTGGCGGAGAAGCTCTCCAAGCCAATGGATCGCTCCCGGTTGTGGCATCGCTCCAAAGGCACTTGGGGTAGTTCTCTAAATGGGGTTTAGGGTTTAGGATTCAGGGGTTTAGGGTTTAGGGGTTTAGGGGTTTAGGATTTCTGGTTTAGGGTTTTAGGGTTTAGGGTGTAGGGTTTAGGGCTTAGGGTTTAGGGTTTAGGGTCCCTTGCAGGGTTTAGGGGTTAGGGTTTAGGGCGTGGAGGAACTGCAGGCTTGGGGGCTTATGATCGTTTAGTTGAAGGGTTGTGAGGGGTCTTGTTGTTGCTTTTTGTTTCAGGCTGAGGGCTTTCTAG